GTTTGAGTCTGATCTCTTCCAGACCCTTCTTACTTTTCTTGGTTGCAGGCGCATTCGGACGACAGCCTACCACTCACCTACCAAAGGTATGACTGAGCGTTTCCACCGCCAGCCCAAGGCTGCCCTGGGTGCTGCAGAAGACCCAGGATACTGTTCAGATAAACTGCATCTTGAACTTCTCGACATTATTGCGGCAGTGGAGTTGGATTTGAACTGTAGCGCAGCTGAATTGGTTTTTGACACTACTTTTCGACTGCCAGACGAGATTGTCGTCTCAACATCAAACTATCCCGAAGAGACTCTTGGCAATTTTATGCAACAAGGTATACGCTCGCTTTCCCGGGTTTCACCTCGAACTCCAACGAGAGAACCTTATGTGGAAGAATATTTGGCCAATTGCACTTATGTGATCGTTTGCGAAGGCGCTATAATCAAAATACGTAGGACTGTTCTGTATGTTCGCACGCAACACCAAGACCTTCCAGACTTTTCGCTGCGACAGGAAGGATGTCTAGAAGAAGCAAATATGATCTTTGAGAGAAGAATTTTATTCACCTGGCGATTCGGAATCCATCGGGGATCCACCATCAGCGAGCCGGTTGTCAGCATTGATCCGCTCAAGGCTGCTGGAACAGAGGAGCCGCCAGATCTGTCACAAGGAAAATAATGTGCTGGTTCCCTAACTCATGTTCCTCCATCTCGTACCCTTTCACATTCCCTACAGTTTCCTCTTCCCTACGCTCTATCCCATCGTCCAGTATTCTTGCTCTCCCGACATATCCCTAGCATCCAACGACAACCTCACCATCCATTATCATAGTACACAGCTCTAACTTTATCTACTGCTCCTATCACTCGCAGTGGACGTCACGTTCACTTACCTGCTCGTATAATTAAGAATTCCTTGTAGACTTAGGCATATCTTCCGGCGTGGTTTTACGTTACTCTCCGGTTTCGGAGGAGGGTGGGGTTACTGTGCCGAGCTACAGGACTTACTGACATTTGGCAAT